CGTCCACAAGCATGCACATAAGTAGAAGCTGGTGTACTATGTAAGCAAAACTCTCTTGGATACGGAGACATGATACTTACCTTTGGAGAAAATGGAATTGGCACTGGTCACAGCTACACGAAAGTTGAGGCATTACTTTCAAGCGCACCTTATCATCCTCCTGACGGATCAAACTTTGAAGACGATCCTAAGGAAGGCGGACCTCTCCAGCAAGATAGCGAAATGAGTCATGGAGTTGGGGGAACATATCATCCACTATAAGCCTTGCACATCGATAAAGAGACAAGTGTTGGCGGACTTCATTGTTGAATTTAGTCAAGGAGAACCATTTCCCCCCAAGGGAGAGTTCTCAACGGACGGCGAGGAGCACTCTTGGAGACTCTGCATGGATGGATCCTCCAACAGCAAAGGGTCTAGAATTAGAGTGTTATTGGTCTCCCCGAACGGATTGGTCATAGAGAAAGCGGTACAGTTGGGTTTCAAGGTGTCCAACAATGAGGTGAAGTACGAAGCTCTTATCTCTGGGCTAAAACTCGCAGATGCTGCGGGCTCTGCAGAGCTAACGGTCCTTTGTGATTCTTTACTGGTGATTAACCAAGTCAAAGGAGAGTTTGAAGCGAGGGATCCAAGGATGAAAGTCTATCACCATAAGGCAATGACCTTACTCCACAAGTTCAAGAAGGTGGAGGTCAAGTAGGTCCCTCGAGATAAGAATGTCCATGCCGACACTTTGGTATGCCTGGCCTCGACATTGGACTGTGACATGACATGCAGGATCACCGTGGAGTTCCTTCCCAACTCCAACATAAACGATGTCCTGGGGGTGATTGCAATCCAAGAAGGGAAAGAGCCCCCTAGCTGGATTGATTCGCTACTCAAGTTCCTAGTATCTAAAGAGCTCCCAGAATGTCCCAAAGAAGCCAGGAAGATAAAGTTGAGGGCTCCAAGGTTTTGGGCCTCCTCAGATCAGAAGTTATACTAAAAGTCATTCTCAGAGCCCTATTTGCTTTGTATCCCTGAGGATAAAGTTGAGCCCCTCCTATACAAAGTGCATGAAGGCATATGTGGGGGGCATTCGGGTGGAAGATCTATGACATATCGGATCATGTCGCAAGGGTATTGGTGGTCGCGAATGCAAAGGGATGCGTAGGCTTACGTACAAAAATACGATCAATGTCAAATGTTTGCCCCCACCACCAAGCAACCAACGGGAGATTTACACCCGCTAACCAGTCCATGGTTGTTCGCCTAATAGGAACTCGACTGGGTCGGACCCCTTCCAAGGGCTCCTGGGACAAGAAATTCCTAATAGTTGGGACCGATTACTTCACAAAATTGGTGGAAGCTGAGTCATTGACTCACATTAGGAACACGAACACCAGAAAATTCGTGTGAAAAAATATAGTGACAAGATTTGGGGTCCCCTGCGCGCTTGTATTGGACAACAGAACTCAGTTTAACAGTGTTTTGTGAGCACCTCGAAATCCAAAATTACTACTCCATGCCTTCATACCCACAAGCCAATGGACAAATGAAATCTTCAAACAAGACTATCATCAATGGAATCAAGAAGAGGCTGGAGAAAGCTAAGGGAAGGTGGGAGAAGGAGCTCCTAAATGTCGCTTGGTCTTACAGGATGACTCCGCGGATCTCGACGGGGGAGACCCCTCATGCACTCACGTACAGAGTAGAGGCGGTTATCCAGCTGGAAGTAGGCCTCCCCACTATAAGAATGCAAGATTTTGACACCGGAGAGAACGATCACTAACTCAGCCTGGACTTGGATCTCACGGAGGAAAGAAGAAAAGTAGTTGCCTTGTGATTTGACGAAATACCAAGAAGAGGTGTCCAAGCTCTACAATAAAAGAGTGAAACCCCAAAAATTTCAAGTAGGCGACCTGATGTTTATAAGAGTAGTTGGGAATACTAGCAACCCGGCTGATGGAAAGATGGGACCCAACTGGGAGGGACCATACAAAGTCGTATCAGTAGGAGGTTTCGAGTCATATAAGTTAGAGGATATGGAAGAAAATGCAGTAATTTGGCCTTGGAATGTAATGAATTTGTAGAAGTATTATTTTTTAGAACAAAATGCTTATTTTCACTAAGTGTATTGTCCTAGACCGGACATGGCCCTGAAGGCAGAATGTTCAAGGAAGGCTCTAGCCTCCAAAGAAACAAAGGAACATACCTCCTGGAAAGGGCATTACCCCGAGGGAAAAGTTTTTATAGACTCTTACCCCCAAAGAAATAAAAGAGCAAGCCTCTTGGAGGGGCATAGCCCAGAGAGTGAGGCCTTAGAAAGAGACTCACCCCAAAAAGACCTAATGAGGCCTTAGAAAAAGACTCACCCCAAAAAGACATAAGGACCGAAGCCTCTTGGGGGCATGGCCCCGAAGGTGAGGCCTTAGAAAAAGATTCACCCCAAAAAGACCTAAGGACCGAAGCCTCCTAGGGGCATGACCCTGAGGGTGAGGCCTTGGAAAAAGACTCGCCCAAAAAAATCTAAGGGAGCGAAGCCTCCTAGAGGGGCATGACCTCGAGGACAAGGCCTTAGAAAAAGACTTGCCCTGAAAAGACTCAAGGAGGGAAACCTCCTAGATGGGGAAAGGCCCCGAAGGCAGAAACTTTAAAGAAAACCTACCCCCAAGGGGACAGTCTCGGCATGGTCCGGGACAAAGTCTCCTAGGAAGGNAGATGGGGAAAGGCCTCGAAGGCAGAAACTTTAAAGAAAACCTACCCCCAAGGGGACAGTCTCGGCATGGTCCGGGACAAAGTCTCCTAGGAAGGCTTATCTCGGTAACGGACCCATGGTGCTGAGTAGGGATATCAATGGACCGAAGCGGGGGCGTAGGGTATAGTCTTTATCCCTGTACCCGCTTAAAAAACTTTCGTCCATCCCCGGTCCACCCCCGTTAACAGGTATAATTTCCATCCTCATTCCCGTCCATGAGTAAATTTATAATCCCCGTCCCCGCTTCCCTTGTACCCGCCCAATCCCAAACATAAGCCCAAGCCTAAGCCCTAGTTCAAGTCAACATAATCCAAAATTCTAAATAAATCAAACATTTTAAATAATCCAATAAAATTCTAAATAATCTAATATAACATAATGTAGCATAAAATATTCGAACATAATACAAACAACAAATGTCCAAAATACTTCTTAACTTTGATATAATTCAACATTACACAACATAACACAAATAACATAATGGGTGGTAGAATCATCTCAATCAATTCAATCATCTCTTTAATACCAACTTCACACCAATTCAATCATCTATTAACACCATTAGTGGTGGTAGAATCTACTTCTTCAACATCATTTTCCTATATCATTAAAAGAAAAAAATAATTAGTTTCTTTCAAAGAGAAATTTTCAACTAAAATGATTTACCTCATCATCAATATCAAGATCCTCCGATAATGTGTAACTCTTCAAGCTCGTCGAAGTAAATGAACCTAACAAAAAAAAATAATGCATTAGGGCTATATCGAGTGCTATATTGAGAACCAAGACATGAATAAAAAAACAAAAAGACAATTCTTATGTCCCTAAAGTTCAATAGTTAACAGTTCAATAGAAAATTTCTTATGAGACAACACCAACAGACACAAGGCTCTAATATGGGAAACCCAATTCCATACACAGATTTGTTAAAACCACTCACTTAGATTTGTTAAAACTTATGTGTAACCATCAATTAGGCAACCCAATTCGATACACAGGCCTGTAATAACCACCAATACTAACACCAATAAGAACTGAATGGTTCATGAAACTACTGATATATTTCACCTCAATGTATCAGTCAAAACAACCTTACTTCCCCCCACCCTCCCCCCCCGAATGAAAAGCTTTACATTCATGCACCAAACACTATTAGTTTCTCTTAACCATTCTCAATATTGTCTTGATGTTCCACTCCAAATGGGTTTCCCAGATTTTTGATGATATTTCTTATATAATCCGAAAGTCTCATATATACCTACGGTATATAATTTGGGAATCTGGGAGGATTACATTTCTGCCATAAGAAGAAAGTATACAGATTCATGCAAAGTGATCGGTGTCAACAAAACAATGACAGATGCAAACTTGTGGAATCGTAGATACAAGCACAATTTTTTAGCCATGGACAAGTGACTAGAAGAATCAATATTTCTTCAACAAAAATTAAGGAAAGGCCTCTAGCATAAGCAAAGGAGAGCTCTGGGATTAAGCAAATAAAGCTCTTCAAAATTTGAATAAAGACCAACTTTCCTGGCCAATGAATCGAACCCCACCTGGCCAACCATTTCTTGTATGTTCTCCATACTCATTATTCAAAGATATACATATATACAGATTATATGAATATTTTCTCAGACAGGAAAAAAGAAAATAGAAGCAAATTCCAAACAAATATAACCATTACTACCAAAAAAGAAAACTGAAAAAAAAAACAAACAAGGGAAAATGATCGGACATTCATACAAAAATACTCGTGAATACAAAGAGACAAATGAATCAACCCAACGACGCAAAGGTAGTTAAAGTGTATGAACCAAAGATTAAAAAAAGCCCCAAGTTCAATAATGAGATGTAAATCAAAGGAATTATATGATTTCAATTCGTGAAACTCTCATCATATGATTTCAATTTCAAAAAAATAAAAGGAATTAATACTCACTCAGAGACTGTCATACAAAGAGTCAGAGAGGAGAGAGAAAGAACCTGGGATGCTTGTGCCTGGTTTGTAGCTTCGAAGATAAGACAGCGAGAGAGGCGAGAGTCTCTAAGACTCAAAGAGGAGGAGGCACTAGGGATCAATCGACTGAGAGAAGCAGAGAGAGGTGAGAGGCGAGAGTCTCGAAGAGGAGTGTGTATGTGAGAGAGAGAGAGAGAGGGGGGCGGTGCTAATAGGGGAGGAAGAGTAACTTAGGCGACTTAGGGTTTAACGGGGATGGGGATGGGGCGGGGGTAAGAGTAAGTCCATCCCCACACAGGTTTATACGGGTATCTCGTATACGTCCACCGTCCAATACGTATAATCCATCCCCAGTCCAAACGAGACGGGTTTGGACGAATACCCATTTTTCTCTGGTCCACTGCCATCTCTAATGTTGAGGTCCCCAGTAAAAGACTTGGCCCTGATGGCAAAGACAAGAAAGGAAAAGAAAACAACACTTAGCAAAAGAAAAAAACACCCTTGCATTCCAAAAAGGAGGGCTTTACATCCCTCAAGCTACAAGAATTGAAAATTAAGTTGCAAAAAAAAAAAAAATTGCTCTATGGTGGGCTAGTAACCTTGCCACTGATACCACCTCTGATGCCACCAAAAAGCTCATCAATGCTGGTGGAGAAAGAGTTGGTGCTATGAGAGGAAGACATTATGTCGGTGCGTACCATAGAAGCTTCGTCCTGAGGGGCAGGCTCGACGTCGACAGAGACAGGAGCAACCTCGACTGAAGCATCGGCAAACACAAGAGTAGCATCATCCCGAGGGGCCGGAGTTGGGGTCGCATTCTCGGCTGGAAGAGCTGGATTTGGAACTTGAGGCGCCCCGACACCTCAGCCACAACCTCANTTGGGGTCGCATTCTCGGCTGGAAGAGCTGGATTTGGAACTTGAGGCGCCCCGACACCTCAGCCACAACCTCAGCTGCAACTTGCACCATCTCCTCGGAGGGTATGTACTCGTGCTCCTTGAAGAGTGGGGACTCGATAAGGACCCCGACTGCCCGAAGTGCCTCATCCTACCCATTCTTGAAGTACTCCCTCTTATTCTCTTCTAAGGCCACCAAGATGTGTCGGCGCATTNGAGGCGCCCCGACACCTCAGCCACAACCTCAGCTGCAACTTGCACCATCTCCTCGGAGGGTATGTACTCGTGCTCCTTGAAGAGTGGGGACTCGATAAGGACCCCGACTGCCCGAAGTGCCTCATCCTACCCAATCTTGAAGTACTCCCTCTTATTCTCTTCTAAGGCCACCAAGATGTGTCGGCGCATTGATTGACAATCTCTTGCTCCGACAACTTTTTGGCCTCCAACTCAAGCCTCAACTTGTCCAATTCTTGAGTGAAGAAGGCACAAGTTTGCTCTGAATTGGCTACCCTTGACTTGGCCACAGACAGTTGCTTCGTCGCCTCNGGCCACCAAGATGTGTCGGCGCATCGATTGACAATCTCTTGCTCCGACAACTTTTTGGCCTCCAACTCAAGCCTCAACTTGTCCAATTCTTGAGTGAAGAAGGCACAAGTTTGCTCTGAATTGGCTACCCTTGACTTGGCCACAGACAGCTGCTTCGTCGCCTCAATGATCCTCTTTTCGGCATCAACAAACGAAGCCTTGACCTTATAAGGTTCTNGAAGCCTTGACCTTATCAGGTTCCCCCTTGGCGGCTTGGCTCTCTTTGAAGAGCCCGACAATTTGGCCCCCTTGAGTGTGCAGATCACCTCCTTCTTAGCCGTGACGAGTGCCCCTTGGGCTTTCTCAAGGTCAGCTTAGAGTNAATGATCCTCTTTTCGGCATCAACAAACGAAGCCTTGACCTTATAAGGTTCTCCCTTGGCGGCTTGGCTCTCTTTGAAGAGCCCGGCAATTTGGCCCCCTTGAGTGTGCAGATCACCTCCTCCTTAGCCGTGACGAGTGCCCCTTGGGCTTTCTCAAGGTCAGCTTGGAGTCTCTCACACTCTTAGACCTTGTCCCAATGGACATGGAAATGCTCGACAATGATGGACACTTTTTAAGCCGCCTGGAAGACAAAGGGAGGAAAGTCGCACTCAAAAAGACGCTAAAGCAAAAAGAAATTTTTTTTTAAAAGTGTTGAAGCTTACCACCAATGAATTTTGGATAAGGGAATGGAACAACTAATTGTTCCCTCGCCCTCGGCGGATTGCCATGTCAGCATCAAAGTGGATTGCCTCATTCACAGCATAGGTGGTGTGAGAAGAGGCAATGAGGGAGTCGATCACTCAGATCGACAGGTTATCCCAATCTTGGGCCCTACCATGCCACTTTGGAGTAGTTGGGGTCAACATCGATGTGGACGTGGGGGCCGGCGTTGGAGTTGGCATCGGTGTCAATGTAGGAGCGCCTCGACCGAGACTAGCGCCATCCTACCTTTGCTTTATTCTTCTTTCCTAGGGTTAAGGATCTCTGACGTGGACTCAACAGCGTCCTTACGGTGTCGACGCCACAGGTGCATTGATTGGTGGAGGAGTTGGGAAGGGTGTAAACCCTTGGATTACGACCCCAGAAGGATGAATGCATCATGATTGGGGGTGACCTCAGATCCTGAGCCGCGCCCTCGTCCGGTAGTAAGTGCGGCTCTTTCCTTGATTAAGTTGAGGGAAAGACGAAGCGGGTTGGACATGGAGATCTCCAAGGCGTCTTCTTCCTTAAGGTTTTGTAGAACGTCAAAGTCTAGCCAAACGTCTTTGCCCGAAGTACTTTCCTAGGCATGGATGGTGGCGGAAGGATCTCTTGTCTCCTTGGTGTCGACAACTGTGTTTTTAGCAGCCTCTGTCCTCGCTTCAATGGCTATGTCGAGGTCTTCTTCTAGGTTTTTGCTCGATAACGCCAACCACCTTCCTCGGTCAAACGATTGAGGGGTCTAGGAGAAGTTTTTGTACCTCGGAGTGTAGTCTAACAGCACGTGCGTAGCTTAGCCAAATTTGTTGCCCACAAATCCCTAGGCTCTGATGATGTTGTCGAGGTTAACTTGATTCTGAGGAGGTGTAACAGACTCAGCGTCGAAGATTCCTGTAAAAGACAAAAAGGGGGGAAATGTTAAAAAATAAGTACGAAAACGCTGAAACAACTATAAGCCGAACAGAGAGAGAGAGAGAGAGAGAAGCTTACATACTTGTAGTCCGCCACTGCTTGGTGCACCACAAGTCGGCGTACACAGGGCCGACTCCCCTTTCCCATTAATTGTCGAAGGCGAACAGGTCATCTTTATACCCATTGTCAAAGTCTGGAAGGTAGGTCACAAGGTATATGGCAGGATCTCGGGCCTTGGTAGTAGTTTTGTTTGGCCATCACCCTCACCAAAGAATAACATAAAAGAATCTCCTCCTGGCCGAGATTCAATCGCAGACGCTCGTTTAGGGCAACCACCCCCATGATGATCATAAAGGTGTTTAGACAACACTGTCCCAGGAAGAGGCGAAATCAGGACAGGAAACGAAGAAGAAGGGGTGGAGGGGAAATCTAATGGCACATTCCATGATGGCTTTGGTATAGAAAGGCATGGCCTCCTTGGTGCCGACGGTGGCACTATGAAGACCAGGCACGAAGTCATTTACAGACCCGGAGGGGGATGGAGTAGTAGGTCTTGAAGTTAGTGATTTGTTGACGACCTTTGACTGTGTATTTCCTCAGCCTCGAGGGACCAGCCTCATTGGCCCCAGTGTTTGTGTTCTGACGACGTCTCGTCATGGAATGGACAGAAAGGAGACTCAAAGATAGGATTCCTAGAGATGGGACCCTAAGAATGGATTGAAGAAGACTAGGAAACAGGACTCAAGAGGGGAGTAGTCACTACTGAGAGAGAAAGAAGAGCAATAACTCACCAATGAACATGATTCTGATACAGAGGAAGGGTTGGACGTTCCTTTCTCCGGTGGATTCTAAGAGATTGGTGGCTTTTAGATGAACTGAGGCTTTTCTGTTGGAACTCCGGTGAAGATTTCTTCAAGTTGCAGGATTTGAGAAAATGGGAGAGAAGGGCAAAGGATCAGTTTAAATAAGAAGGCAAGTCCCATTATTACGCACAAGGCACGAAGGAGGCGCCTTAAATGAGGCTCAGGACCCAAGAAAAGGAAAGTGGCTGCATGAAGAGGCAGGGGTCAAGTTCTTTCATCTCCCTCCGCCATGTTATCCATTCTGTACGAAGATCAAGGTCTGGGGGGTAGTTGATGGGACTTTTCCATGAATTTATGGGGAGATGACACGTGTCCTCAACATGATGAACGTGGAGGCTCTATGAATCAACACGTGTCCTTGACGCAACAAGACTCGGACCCTCCATAATTCAACATGTGTCCTCGGCTCAAGACTCCTCAGATCTCTCTAAGACTGACATATGTCCTCGGCGTGAGTCCCTTTCGAAACATTCGTCACTTCACACTCATCCTCGGTGTCCCAAATCCCCTAAGGATCCCTCCACCTAACACGTGTCCTCAACGTCGAGTCCCTACTCCGCCGAGCTGTTGACGATCATCTTGGAGCTTGCCCTATGTCAAATGGTTAAGTTCTTAAAGGAATCAAGAATGACGTCACCACATTAGAGGTTAGATTGGCTATTAATCATCAATTCCCTTTCCCAAGGCAACCAAAATGGTTGCAAAGACAATTTAGCAACCAATGAGGAAGACGTACGGAGAACAAGATATATAATTCCTAACTCCTTAGGAGGTGATGGACAAAAGTGCCCATGCGCCTGTGCAGCCACAACCAAGGCTCATTAAATGACCCAACAGAAGGATGTGACATATTATTGCTTAGTGAAGTCAAAAAAGCAAGCATTAAATGCTCAGGAATTCGGGTATTAAATGCAGAAACTTCTACCACGTGAAAAGGAAGGCACCCTACTCAAAGACTGTGCACCACATGTTGCTTTCCAAATGAGCCAATGAGTAGTTTTCCCTTCAAGGGACCCAGCTGTCCGCAATGATTAACTCCAGGGAGGTATAAATAACACTTTGAAACACAAGTCTAAGACATCAAAATATCACCCAATTAATTGAACAGTGTTTTTTTAACCCTCTCTCAAATATTGACTTGATCGTCGAAGGGATCATGCCGAAAAACACTTCGGGACCCTCTTAACCCTTCTTTTTGAGTGACAACACTCAATTCGATAACTCAAGAGCGACCAAAGCGAGTTTGGAAAGAGTTCCATCATCTTCTGTTACCATCTCTCAACACTCATTTGCTATGGAACCTGAAGTTTCCAAGCAAGTTCAAGTTCATCAATGGAGTGATTTGTCAATCTATTTATTGTGCAAAAATCATCGCGCACAATAATATATGTTAAATTAGTATGTTGTATACTTGTTTCTCACTCATACTTCCTACTCCCTTTTGCTAAAAGAGAAAAACATTGTTCACTCTGATGCTTTACCAATTATATCAAGTAGGAAGATAACACAAATTGTCAATAAAGGAATTAATGAAAATGGAGTTTGTCCAATATGTGATACGATCACAGTCTAAATTTTTTTAAATAAATCTAGGGGTATGGAAAGTGAGCTAAAATTAAAATGAATAGTAAATTATAACATTTAGTAACAATGGTTCCACCGACACGAAGATGACAGTGGTGACAATCGAGAAGCAAATCTACACAAGTGGGTACTAAAAGTAAGAATGATGAAGGTAAGCAGAGTGAAACGACGTCGTCGGATCTTCTTCTTCTTCCTCGAGTTTTTCATCAAGAATGTGGATTTTCTTGAAAGATTTTCTCTAAAAAAGCAAAAATGAATGAAGAAACAATACCTACAAGTTCTAGTCTTTTTTATTGTTTT